GCAACACCGAGGGTTGCGATCCCATTGCCGGTCCCCAGTCCGGTACGGGGGCAACACTGAGAGTTGCGATCCGTTGCCGAACACGGAAAAAGACAAAAAAAAAAAAAAGGTGAACAAAAATAGGTGTCTTGGAATCAACGAAGTGTAGTAGTTTCTTGAGATCTCAGACTCCTCATCTGTACTTGGTGGGAATTAAATTTGATGGTCCTGAAAGTTCGGCCACACTTACCGTTGCTATGGATGAGCAATTCTCTCAGGTCTTGTGCATCAACAGCTGTCATCTTTCCATGAATGAGCATCTCAGAAACTCTTCAGTTCCCCCAGAGTTGCTTCGGGTGGGTCTTGGAATGCACCAGATATTATGGACAGATTTTCTTTGCTGAAATTTTTTTAATAGAGACCCTAGAGTCTCCTTCAGTCACTAGGAGCTCCGTAGAGTCCTACAAATAAGAAGTTTTGATGAGAAATGAATATGAAGAACTTGACAGTCACTTCGAACCACCTTTTAAAAGGAAGATGTAACAAACACCTTTGACCATTGTCTTAGTCCATTTGTGTTTCTACAACAAAATACCTGAGACTGGGTAATTTAATAAAAGCAGAAATGTATTTTCTCACAGCTTGGAGGCTGGGAAATCCAAGATCAAAGCACTGGCGGGTTCAGTTATCTGGCAGAGGCTGCTCTCTGATTCCAAGGTGGTGCCCTGAACACCACCTCCTCTGCAGGGGAGGAACACTGTTTCCTCCCATGGCAGATAGCAGGAGGGCAAAAAGGACAAACTCCCTCCATCAGGCCCTATACAAGGGCACCTAATCCCGTTCATGAGAGCTTCACCCTCATGACAATCACCTCCTGAACGCCCCACCTCTTTCTACTGTTAGATTGGCAATTACGTTTCAACATGAATTTTGGAGGGAACAAACATTCAAAGCATAGCAGCCATCAAACAGAATTAGCTACGTGGCCGTAATTGTGAAATTCTTGAAAGTTAGCTTTAGTGCTCTGTCTTTCCTTTCTATATGCTTCCTTCCCTGCAGAAACCCTCCTCCCTTCTCCTTCCTAATCATTACTTGAATACCCTTGCCCTTCCTAACTCATCGTCTTCCTACCCCACCAAGAAAGCCCTCTCAGAAAAGAATCTAATATTAGCCAATTCTTTGCTGGGGCAAATGAATATTCACATTTTACCCCTTCCTGAGGCATATGCACTTTTATACCTTCTCAACAGAGCACAGAAGGCTTTGTCTTGCTCAAAGCATTTAGACCACCAGCAAGACAGGATTTCCAGGGGACATCAGATAGGTCTTCCAAGTTGGGAGAGAAATCATGCCTTAAATAGTTTGCCCATGGTGCTCCAACCAAGTACCTAACATGAGGATTACGAATAGGACATCATTATGATTTCTATTTCTTTTTTTTTTTTTCCNCCTTTGGAGCTCAGGCATGTAAAAGTAGATTAAGCATAATTCTCAGCTCATGACACACTGGGATCATGGAGCCATGTATGGCCTATTGTTATTTTGTTAATTAGCCGGTTAGTTGGTTAGTTAGTCAACACAAAATCTAGGTCCTTGGAAATAACCTACATTCAACCCTTCTCATGGAACCAGAACAAAAACTACAAGATGGAGACCTGCTGAACTTCTTCTCACTCCTCTTAAGATTGCCCTGAGGTTGGTTAGTGGTTGGTTGGTTGGAGGGTAGGGGACAATTGTTCTTTCCCTTTAACATGGGGGAAACTGAGGCCCATGGAGAGGAAGCATTTCATCATCCTTGGCCAAGGCCACCAAAGACCATCCTCTCTCTCCCTGCCTGCCATGCCAGGCAAGAGACAGGGCTGCTATTAAAAGGAAACTCAGAGCCACACAGAATGTAAAAATAGCAAGCCTTCCCCCAGCAAGCCTAACCTCCTTTCTGTTTCCTCCTTCTGCCTCCTAGACTATGCAGAATTCATTTTCTTAGGACTCTTTATGTCCGAAATGTTTATAAAAATGTACGGGCTTGGGACGCGGCCTTACTTCCACTCTTCCTTCAACTGCTTTGACTGTGGGGTAAGTGCTCTGGTTTCTAAGGGGATCATTTCACCAGCTCTTACCTAGAATGGCTGATACCTGAGGACATCAAAAGGGGAGAGGAGAGATCACCCCTGGATATGAGAGAGACAGATGCATACAGAAGGAATGAGAGGAAAACCCCAAACATTGGCAAGAATATGGAGCACCCAGAACTCCACCACCACCCATGGGAGGGGGAATTTATAGATTCTCTTTGGAAAGCAAGGGCAGCGTAGCCCAGCAATTCCACTGCTAGGGATGCATCTTAGAGAAACTCACACAGGTGCCTCAGAGACACCGGCAAGAATGTCCCTGTGTCTGGGAATGAAATTAGGGTTGTTAGCAAATTAAGTGGAGAATGCCCACCACGGGGCAGCCAGAATCACATGCTGTAATCCTATTGGCCTCAGAAAGATTTAATAATGTTTAA